GGAGAGCTGCCACATTGCCAGCCTCCTCTGGCACAAACTAGTCTGGGTCATAGCCCCAACCCCTCACCACACCCCCACCACTGGTACCCGCACACTTCAACACACCCCAGCCATATGCATCCCACCAGCTGCTTTGCAGTCTAACGTTTTCTGGAGGGGAGGCTCCGCCAGGGACCACCAGCTCTCTTGAGGGCAGAGCAGGAAGTCCATGAACACAGAAGCCTGTCCCCTGTCCCCACTTCCCTACTCATGACCTAATGGGCAGAAGACTTATCTGTACTAGAAACCGCAGAAAGACACCATCCACTGGCCAGAATTCCTGGAAGGAATTTCTATCTAATGCAGTGGAGACAGAAGCAGGTTGCAGGGAAGGACAGAGCATTACAGGTATTTGACCTGTAATGTACAGATATGAGACCTCGGGGGGCTCCACCAGTGTCCCCAGAGAGAAAGAGGGGCTTCAGAGATGCATGGAAACCCACTGATGCTGTTTCCAACCCCCAGGCACACGAGCCAAGCCCATGGTGCTCCCACGCCCAGCTCCTGCTGGCTGCAGAGATAACAACAGGCAGGGGGCGGGGGACAGTCAACCAGGCTGCTGCCCCACCCCACGCCTGCAGCCCAGGGCGGGGAGCAGCTGGGGTGACTAACCCCAGCCTTCCCGGGTTTCTCGCTCTGGGCCCCAGGCCCAGACCCAGAGCCTGGAAAACACATGAGCCCTCTTCTCTCTTTGCTGGGCCTCTGTCTAACCTTGAAAGGACCTGTGCCATCATTTCTTTAATTCATTATTTTTTATTGGAGGATAATGGCTTTACAATGTCGTGTTAGTTTCCGCTGTGCGACAGTGAATCAACTCTATGTATACATACATCCCCTCCCTCTTAAGCATCCCTCTCACAAGCCCCCATCCCACCCCTCGAGGTCATCACAGAGCACCGAGCTGAGTTCCCTGTGTTATCCAGCAGCTTCCCACTAGCCACGTCATCTTTGACTTAAATAAACCAGTCAGGGAAGCACAAGCCCTGCGTAAAGATAGTCGAACTTTGTATTCCTCCAAATTCCTATGTGGAAACCCCACTCCCCACCGTGTCTGTACTTGGAGATGGAGGTTTTGTGCAGGGAACTTAAGGTTAAATGAGGTCATATGGGTGGGGCCCTGGTCCAACAGGACTGGTGTCCTTACCCAAGGAGACACGAGTCCCCTGGATCTCCTCTCTCTGCCATTCGAGGACACAACAGAAAGACGCCACATGCAAGCCAGGAAGAGAGGCCTCCCCAGGAACCAAGTGGCCCAGCACCTTGACCCTGGACTTCCAGCCTCCAAAACCGTGAGAAATAAATCTCTGCTGTTTAAGCTCCTCATGTATGGTATTTTTGTTACTAGCAGCCCAAATGGACTAAGACATTAGTATACTCATGCAGAAAAAAACTACATGAGTTTGAGCAAACTCTGGGAGACTGTGAAGGACAGGGAAGCCTGGTGTGCTGCCGTCCATGGGATTGCAAAGAACCTGGACACAGCTGAGCAACTGAACAACAGCCCAATGAATAGTGTTAAAACTAACTAACGAAGTCACGTGAAGCATTTCCAAAGATCGTAAAGAAGAGAAAAGAAAAAACAATGATGACAGAGAGTGTTGAGAGGAGGATCTAACCTACACCTAAGAGGGAACCCCGGGAAGAAAAAACGAAACAAGGCTGATGCAGTGCTCAGAGAGGAAACAGGAAAGTGTTCCCGAAAATAAAAACATGCCTAACACGAGTCAAACAGAGAAGGAGTGGAAATACACGGTATGACTGTTTTCAGGGTTTTTGTTGGTGGTGGTTGGTTGGGTTCTGTGCACTGTCAAGGATGCAGGGCAGGCATCGCCACAGTCTAAGACATATCAGGGTGTCACAAAGGCAAAAATCAGGCTGGTCTCAGATTGCTCCTCAGCAACACGGTTCTTTTTTTTTTTTTTTTAACAGGAAAATGGCAAGTTGTATTTTTCTGTGTGAGTACAAAATAAAAATATTTTCAAGTAGGCAAGAATTCAGAAAGTGCCTCATGGGTATTGATACCATAGGCACCACTAATACCCCTACACATACAAAGAGCTCTTGCAAATCACTAAGTAACTTCTTCTTCCTGTTCGTTCTCATACTCTAGGATGAGACTCCAGTCCATGCCATGGCCCCACTGCCCAGAAATACCTGGCAACCCGTCTGTATCGCAGTGGGAACTGAAGTCTGGCATTCCACACTCTCCACTGATCATGGAGACTGCTTAGCTAGATGGCTCAGCATTTCAAAGGCCTGGGGCCCAAGTGGAGATGATGTTTCTCCTTTCGTATGTCCCCTCATGACCTACCCTTTCATGCACACCTCTTTGAGTTGGCATCACCCACCGTCCAGAAGGGCTGAAAGCCAGCCCAGATCCACCTCTCCTCCCGTGGCCCACCATCTCACCCACTGGGACCTGAGCTTTCTGCCACACGGCCTGTGTTTCTTCTCTGCTCTGCGACAAGGACTCCGTGTCCACCAGGGCCATCTCACCCCATCACCACCCACCCAGCCTCATGCCACTCAAGTGCATCTCCTCACCTTGCATCTAGACCCTTGATCACCTGGTCCTGCTTCCTCACGGGGACACTTCCTCTCCCATCCTAGAGGCATGCAGTCCTCGGCCCTTCCTAAGACGAGCCAGCTCCCTCTGGGTCCCCAGGTTTTATGGTGTCTGAACAGGCACTGCCTGCCTCTGACCTCTGCGACGCCCAGCACAGGCCCCCTCCTCCATGACCCCAGTCCCAAAGCATCAGGCTAGATGGGGTATTCTCACCCCAAATCTCTGGACACACCTTCCATCAGAGCCCCCTCAGATGGCTATTTAGCTGGACAATTACTCAAGGGCAGAGATGCCCTTCACTTCATTACCCCCCATCCCTGCCTTGGTCCTTGGTCAGTGGGAGGTTAACGAGTGATGAGGCCTCCGTCACTGAATGCTTCTCACAAAATCCTTTTACTCTTTTGCACCTGGACTTTCAGAATCTGGAGTGCCTCCGTATAAGGGAAGGCTTCACGCCCTAACTCCCGACAAGGTGGACAGGTGTGAGCACAGCCACAACACCTTGCTGACTGTGGGGGGTTTTCCACCTTAGGTGTCTAGATTGAAAAGCAGGTTTGCAGAGATGACTTCCGTTAAAAGGATGAAATGGCAGGACACTGAGTCTCTGCTTCCCCCGAGCTCCGAGATCAGCCATTCAGCCAGGCTTAGACACAGGAGTTGGTGAAGCAAGGAGGGATAGGAAGGTTTCCCCCTCGGGTGGCCCCCACAGAAGTTCCCTTTCCAGAATCAACATGCAGTCTGGTCCCGGGGAATTTTCTGCAGCTTCCCGGCCCTGACTCCAGTTTTCAACAGCTCTCAGCAACACTCAACATTGGCCCACATTCTTTTCATAGACAAACTCCCTTTCTTCTTAACTCAGCCTGAAGCACTTTCTCTGCAGGAAGCTGAGAACCCGAGTGATGCAATAGATAGAATTTTGAAAGCTAAGAATTCTGAAAGCGGTCAATTACAAACCCAGTTAATGCTACAGTTACAAATAAAGCGTGGGTCTGAAGGAACAAGCATAGTTTCATGTTCCTCTCACAAAGTTAGCATTAAGTTGCTCAGTCCTCTCGGACACTTTGTGACCCCATGGACTGTAGCCTACCAGGCTCCTCTGTCCATGGGGATTCTCCAGGCAAGAATACTGGAGTGGGTTGCCATGCCCTCCTCCAGGGGATCTTCCCCATCCAGGGATCGAACCCGGATCTCCTGCAGTGCAGGCAGATTCTCTACCATCTGAGCCACCAGGAATGTCCGAGTCCAATTCCAAATCAGAGAGCTGAGCATGGTGCGCTTGGCACCTTTTAAGGATCACCTCTGCAGATGAAAATCCTGGGCAGGAAGGATGCTTACCTTTTACAACGTGCTCTCACTAACAGCCCCGCCTTGTCACCCTGACAGCCTCTCAGCAAGAAGCCCCGGGGTTTTTCTCTACATCTCCAGGCAAAGCGCAAAGTTACCTCCTAAATGTGTCCACATTTTATACATTAACAGTCACTAAGGTCTCTCCCACTCATGAGTTCAGCAGCATCTTTCGGACCCTGGGTCTCCGAGCACTGGTGGGTTGCTGGGCTCTAGGAGAGCTGACGTGGAAGCTGGGTGTCTAGTACAGCTTCACGTTCAAAGGCTTCAGGCAGTTGCACAGCTAATTCTGCCCCACACTGAGTCCTGCACCAGTGGGTAAACACACTGGTAACAGAGAACAGACCTGACTCCATATGGATCTATTCCTTTTGCTGCAACCCTTATGCTCCAAGGCCTGTGCTTAGTCATGCTGGATCTTCACCTTTTGTAAGGCAATGCTGCCTAGAGCCTGAACTGTACAGGACAGCCCATTCTCCAGGCTCTGACCTTTAAAAGTGTAACACGTTTCCATTCATATAGAGATTAAAGGTGGCAGAGCAGAAAATGACAATTGTCCTGGTGGAGGTTTACAGGAACCCTGTGACCAGACCTGCTCAGACAATCGCAAGAAAAAGGATTCTAGCACCAAGAAGTTTGTAAGCGACCAGCCACTCACCCCCTCTCCCCTTTCAGTGAAAATGAAGCCTGAATTCTAACTCGGGTAAGATGGTTCTTTGGGGGCCCTAGTCCACCATCTCCTCGGTCTTCTGGCTTTTTGAATAAAATCACTATTCCTTGCCCCAGCCCCTTGTCTCTGGACTGACTGTCCTGTCCTGCAGACAGCAGTACAGGCGTGGACTCAGCAACACACTGTCCCAAATGCACAAACAGAATGCACCCACCCTCAACCCTTTCCTTGTCCTTCTCAGCAGTAAAGCCTGACCTCTGATCAGTGACATACTTCCGACACCCATCTCAGGAGCTGAGGTCAAGTGCAGGCGCCCCACGGCCTGGGGGCCCTGGTCCGACCTCGTGGGCTCTGGGGAGGGAACAGGAAGCTGGGTCTTACCTGCCTGGGCCGCTGTGATGAGGGCCGTGTTCCCTTCGCTGTCCTGCCAGTTGACGTCAACGTGGGGACACTCTGCTAAGACCACCACGGTATCCACAAAGCCGTGGTAGCAGGCGACAATAAGGCCGGTCTAGAAATGAAGAGGGAAGTGGGTCAGAAGGGCAGAGAAAGCATCATCACCGCACACGCAGCCAGCATCCCCATGGGCGGGACGAGCGGGGGTGAGAGGACCCAGTTCCAGGTCTCAGCATTCAGCTACAGCAGCCGGCCATTGTCCGTTCTCACGGGGGTTCAGAGCGCTGTGCCCAGACACTCGGGATAACACAGACACTGCCCTTGGGGCATCTGCATTAAATTCTTTGTTGCTGTTGTTATTTGTTTTTACATCTACGTTTATTTCTATCTTTAGTTATACATCTTGAAAACTACGAATTCATATCAACAACTAATTTTAATCCAACCTCACTGGGTTCTTTCTAGTTTTTCTTTCTGGCCATGAATGCAATTCCCTTCATCAACAGTGAGAAAACTGGCTCTCATTATGCTTAGATATTTATTTATTTATAAAATGCCTAGCATTTAACTATTTCCTGCCTTTACCACGATCCCACCTCGACACAGATTTATTCCTCATCCAGCTCTGGAAGCCGGGGTTGCCTGCCAAATGGAAGTCTCTTACTTCCTTGCAGAGTTGCCAGATATCGATAATTTGCATTCCATTCTGACCGGAGGAAAAGGCATCCGCTACAGACCTAAGACGTGAATATGTTATAAAGTAGACTCCTCCGGTCAGAGAGGTGGTGAGCCCAGGGTCCACGTGGCTCAGCACCTGGTGCAGGGGCAGGTTCAACTGACGCGGGACACGGGGTACGTCCAGAGGAGGTGGGAGAAGACGCCAAGGGGATGCAGAGGGGGAAGGCGCGGGCAGAGGGCCAGGTCAGGCCACCCAGGGACCAGCCTGCAGGCTGCTGACCACAGGTGGTCTCAGCGGCCAGGACAACCCTAGTTTGCTCGGAGTGAGATGGGGAGTCATTGAGGCAGTCTGCTGTCAATTACCTGCATTAATTCTGGTAAAACAGAGAGTTTTCTACCCAAGTAGATGTTTTTCTGAGAGTTCCAGAAAAACATCTACTTCTGCTTTATTGGCTACNCATCTAGTCAAAGCTATGGTTTTTCAAGTAGTCATGTATGGATGCGAGAGTTGGACTATAAAGAAAGTTGAGCACTGAAGAAGTGACGCTGTAGAACTATGGTGTTGGTTCTGGCCTTCAGAACAGTGAGAAATAAATCCCTATTGATAACAACAGGAAGATCCAACAGAGATCCAAACAACAGAGATCCAACCAGTGCATCCTAAAAGAAATTAGTAGTGAATATTCATTGGAAGGACTGATGCTGAAGCTGACACTCCAATCCTTTGGCCACCTAATGTGAAGAACTGACTCATTTGAAAAGCCCCTGATGCTGGCAAAGATTGAAAGCGGGAGGAGAAGGGGACAACAGAGGATGAGATGGTTGGAAGGCATCACTGACTCCATGGACATGAATTTGAGTAAACTCTGGGACTTGGTGATGGACAGGGAGGACTGGCGCGCTGCAATCCATGGGGTCATGAAGAGTCAGACATGATGACTGAGCGACTGAACTGACTGAAGAGTGGACGGTTGGGGGTGTGGCGTTCCCATTCCCCTCCGCCACACACACAGCTCCTAAGGCCCTAGGAATCCAGTTTTTGTGTGCTAATCGATGACTCACGGTGGGGGCGGGTGCCAGGTGGCTTCAGGTTGGAGCTGCTTTCTAGAAAGCTTAGAAGGGCTGAACTGTTAGTTCCACTGCTCCCCCTACACCCCTGCTGCTACCTCTGGGGTGGAGAAGAGAAAGATTGAAAATCGAGACCAATCACTAATGATTCAACAGCTGTACAGATCATGCCTACTTAATGAAACCCCCATAACGTTTGAAACAACAGGGCGCAGAGAGCTTCTGCATTGGTGAACACAAGGTGGGGCTGGGAAGCGGAGCTCCTGGAGAGGGTAGAGAAGCCCCACAACCCTCCCCCCAACCTCTGGTGCTTTCCTTCCATCTATGCGTCTGTTCTTGAGTTGCAGCCTTTATAATAAAGGAGTAATAGGACTTAAGGGGCTTCCCTGGTGGCTCAGTGGTAACGAAGCTACCTGCTGATGCAAGAGAATCAGATTTGATCCCTAGGTCAGGAAGGTCCCCTGGAGGAGGACATGGCAACCCACTGCAGTATTCTAGCCTGGGAAATCTCATGGACAGAGGAGGCTGGCGGGCTACAGCCCATGGGGTCGCACAGAGTCAGACACAACTGAGCAGTGGGACTGAAAGCACTTTCTCAAGTTCTGTGAGTCGTTCTCACAAATTACTGAACCCGAGGAAGGGCTCTGGGAACCCCCGGATTTATAGCCAGTCTGTCAGAAGGTGGCCCCTGATTCCTGCGACTGGCATCTGAGGTAGGGGCGGCCTTGTGGGACTGAGACCTGAACCCACAGGGTCCCCACTGACTCTAGACAGTGTCAGAATTGAACTGTTGGACACCCTGCTGGGATTGGAGAACTGGAGAATTAGTGTAGAAAAAACGTGGGTTTTTGGAGAAAACCCACATGCTTGGCATGAGAAAAAAAGACCCCACAAGGGACTCCTGCAGATACTGGACAGACGAAGATGCAGGTGGTCACTATGCACCAGGAAGCAGGACAAGAGCCCCACGTGCCGGCACCCTGACCACAGATTTCTAGCCTCCAGACCCTGAGAAATAAATTCCTGTTGTCAAGCTTCCTGTTGTTGGGCTTCTTGTGGCTCAGCTGGTAAGGAATCCGCTCGCAATGCGGGAGACCTGGGTTCGATCCCTGGACTGGGAAGATCCCCTGGAGAAAGGAAAGGCTACCCACTCTAATTTTCTGGCCTGGAGAATCTCATGGATGGTATAGTCCATGGGGTCACAAAGACCTATTTTATGNGGGGCGGTGGGCGGGGACTCCTCTTCAGTGGCGGTGGGCGGGGACTCCTCTCCAGCAGCGGTGGGCGGGGACTCCTCTCTAGGGGCGGTGGGCGGGGACTCCTCTTCAGTGGCGGTGGGCGGGGACTCCTCTCGAGGGGCAGTGGGCAGGGACTCCTCTCTAGGGGCGGTGGGTGGGGACTCATCTCTAGTGGCGGTGGGCGGGGACTCACCTCTAGCGGCAGTGGGTGGGGACTCCTCTTCAGCGGCAGTGGGCGGGGACTCCTCTCCAGTGGCGGTGGGCGGAGACTCCTCGCTAGTGGCAGTGGGCGGGGACTCCTCGCTAGTGGCGGTGGGCGGGGACTCCTCTCTAGTGGCAGTGAAGGGGACTCCTCTCTAGGGGCGGTGGGCGGGGACTCCTCTCTACCGGCAGTGGGCGGGGACTCCTCGCTAGTGGCGGTGGGCGGGGACTCCTCGCTAGTGGCAGTGGGCGGGGACTCCTCTCTAGTTGCACTGCTCAGGCTGGTCACAGCAGTGGCTTCTCTTGTGGAGTGCGGGCTGTAGGGCCCATGGGGTTCAGTAATCGCTGTTTGTACCAGATTTTTAATAGGAATGTAATTTGTCATGGAATGAGGAGAGGACGTGAGCAACCCCCCTGCTTATTTCAATAAGGTTCCAAGTTGCTCTCCCAATATACTATACTAAATGTCAAGCATTACAATTTTTGAAGTTTTAAAGAATACTATTGATTCTTTAATGCTGACATTCATACTGCAGCCAAATGAGCTGTACAATTCTGTGACTGTAGTAAAGACTATTTGATTCNTGAGGAGAGGACGTGAGCAACCCCCCTGCTTATTTCAATAAGGTTCCAAGTTGCTCTCCCAATATACTATACTAAATGTCAAGCATTACAATTTTTGAAGTTTTAAAGAATACTATTGATTCTTTAATGCTGACATTCATACTGCAGCCAAATGAGCTGTACAATTCTGTGACTGTAGTAAAGACTATTTGATTCTTTCTTGCTTGTGCATTCTTTGAAACAGGTCATTCTATCTATAGGATGAAATGTTTCACAATAATTTAATTTAAAGGAGAAAGGAGCATGGGGTCAGCTCAGCCAGGCTGTAACTTACAAGCTTTCTGTGTCTCTTATAACCAGAGTTCACTGCTACTAACACCTCCATTCCACCAGCTAACTTGTCGACTCACTGCTGCACAGATGATCCAGAAGACGTGAGATCCCCTTGAACTTCTTTGGATGATAGTATTTCTCAAATATGCTATAATCTCCTCCTGACTTACAAATATGGCATGTTGTACAAAATATAGCCATTTCCTTTTTACATAATTCCATAAGAAGCTCAGACTCACCACAGAAAGAAATTCAAAAGTATAGATTACGAAAAAAAAAAGTTTTCAGTCCAGACACACAATCACACACATACTTTAAAAAAAAAATTGTAAACCAAAACACAAGACTATCTACTGTATGTTTGTCAGAAATACACGGTAACAAAAGTACTTGTGTGTCAACATTTCCAGCAGCTGTGGGGCATTATACATATAGTCATTTAATGGATTTCTGCTCTTGGACTCTTGAGATTGTTTCCCATTTTTCTCTATTATGAGTCAAACCTGCCATGAAAATTCCTAGAGCTGAGGCTGTGTGCATATCATTTATTTTCCTCAACAGACATTCTTAGAAGTAGTATTTATGGATTAAAGGAAAGAGTTATTTTGAAAGTTTTTTTTTTAAACATATATTGCAAACCTGTCCTTCAGAAACATCTTAAAGGACATATGCCTTCGCCAATCCTGCCATCCAATGCTTAGGTAAGATTCCGGGAATTCTCTGGCAGTCCAGTGATTAAGAAGCCACACTTTCACTGCGGAGGGCTCAGGTTCAATCCCTAGTTTGGGAACTAAGATCCCGGAAGCCATGTGGTGGTGTGACCAAAAGGAAAAAAAAAAAAAAGAATTCCAGATTAAAGGAAGAATTCCCTTTGGCAAGTAATGAACAGAGAAATGCTACCCAGGGTTCCTGAAGTTCCCGATTGTTTCGAATCATCCTCACCTCCACTCCTCTACCCCAACAAAAAGGGTCTTTTCTAGAATCACAATCTTTCCAGCCCTTAAGTGAAGCCTTCCTCAAATGTACATAGGCC